GAATAAGAAAGAAACATCCTAACTGGGACATCTCACCAACATAATTAAGAGTGGTCTGCAAATTCAGAGAGAGAGAGAGAGAGCGAGCGAGCGAGCAGGGAAGCATGGATATGGTGGGTGGTTGTATGTGGTGGGGTGTGTTACCTTTTGCAGCCATGGTAATGGTGGAGTTCGCAGATGTGGGCGTATCAACTATAACCAAAGCAGCAATGTCCAGAGGAATGAGCACTTATGTTTTTGTTGTGTACTCTAATGCCCTAGCCACCCTCCTTCTCCTTCCTTGTTTCATTTTCCAGTAAGGGGCATAGACAGTAATTCTCACACCCTTTCATATCCTTCCTTTGTGCAATTAATCAAGTAAATCTAGTGATTATTTATACCTTCATGTAAAGTAATGAAATTCTTTCATATACTCTGCAGAAAGAAGCCGGTTTCTCTTACTCTCTCACTCCTTTCTGGGTTCTTCCTCCTTGGCCTAATTGGGTAAAACATTAATTAGCAGCTAATTGTGTCTGTCTAGTGTTTATGCTTGATCTCAGCACCTCAATTATCTCATTTGGCTGAAGAAAAATTGCTGTTGCAGGAGTTCAAGTCTGATATTGGCATATAATGGCATCAACTACAGCTCCCCAACAGTTGCATCAGCAATGGGAAATCTTATACCGATTTACACATTTGTGCTGGCAATCATTTTCAGGTACATGGGTATTTTAGGCTTTAGACAAGTGATCATATATATATTGCTACCTGTTAGATTGAGAGGAAAACAAAGTGATTTTATTAAATTTGGAGGAGAATAGAACATGGTTTAGTGTAGGCTAATTGGCCTTCTACACTTAGCATATTGGCTTATTGGCCATCACACTTGATTTAGATTAGTTTTGGGCTATTTGGCCCTTACACTTTGATTGGTGAGCATATTGGCTCCCTTAGTTTGGGTAGCTTTTATGCTCCCTTAGTTTGGGAGTTCTTTTGTTTCACTCCCCATATGACTTGGTTTGGGTAGCTTTTGTGCTCCCACATAGATTGGGAGTTGATTGGTTCACTCCACTTTGCTTGGGAAGGCTACAAGTCTTTTTATAGATGATAGTAGCCGACATATGCTTTCTCCACCGACTTGAGCTCTTTATTTCCGGCCACATGTTCAACCGACATAGTTGGTGAACTTCACAATTCATTGCTGCATGCTTTGTTGGTTGTTCTGGAACTTTCTTCAAACTTTAGTTGTGTTAGCCGACATTCCTTCTCTTCAGGCTGCTAGATTTTTCTACAAATATGCATTAATTTCAACACTACCTAATTGCATTTTTCCTTGTAATTTTTTCTAAACTAGGATGGAAAAACTAGACTTATGGAGATCAAGCAGTCAAGCAAAATTGTTGGGAACTATAGTATCAGTATCTGGGGCATTTGTAGTAATTCTTTACAAGGGCTCACCAATCTTAAAGTTCAAGGCTTTATCACCATCCAACTTCCCTCCCCACCAGAACTTGATCATCTCACAACACACAAAGTGGATCTTTGGAGGTCTTTTCCTTGCATTGTCTTGCCTTTTGGCTGCAATATGGAACATTGTTCAGGTACCTTTTCAGTCATTTAGAGATGGAAATTTCACTTGCAAACTAGCAAACTCCCAAATAGGGAACCCTGACCTTGAGTTTTTCCCTCTCTATCTGTCAGGCATCCATTGTTAACAACTGTCCATCAAAGGTGACCATAGTATTCTTCTACACCTTCTTTGTGACAATCCAATGCACAATATTTTCACTGATTGTGGAAAGAAATCCAAATTCCTGGACATTAAGGCCCAACATCGAGATGATCGCCATTGTCTGCTCAGTGAGATGAACTATAAATCTTGGATTATGTTGCTATTTCAGTCTCTTTGATGCCATTTTATTCACGGTGATTATAAATTGATATGTACTGATCTAGATATTTTTAGGCTGTATTTGGGAGTGTCTTTCGGATTGGTGTTCATACGTGGTGCTTGCACCAAAAAGGGCCTATCTTTGTAGCCATGTTCAGGCCCTTGGGAGTTGCCATTGCAGCAGTCATGGTGGTCATCTTCCTAGGCGAAGCACTTCACCTTGGCAGGTTTTATTTATATCCAAGTCATTACATTCAACTCAAAATATTCCACATACACTACGCATTTGTATGGTCAATCCATCAAAAGACATGTATTACTAGTTAAGTAGATTGAAAACTTGATTGAATTTCCTTCCAGTTTGATTGATATTTACATCTACGACAGTGTGATTGGATCTGTCATTGTTGCAATTGGATTCTATGCTATGATGTGGGGACAAATCAAAGAAAAGAGCATTGTGATGGAGAATGAAGTCCACAGCTTGGCATCATCCACCCAACAGACCCCTCTTTTGCAATGCAGAACCTCAGAAAATATATGACAAAGAAACATGCAAATATTTCAGTCATGGATCGGATAAGCAAGAGGAGGAGGAGCTATAATTATAAATGAACTATATCCTTCTCATTAAACTGTATTTTCTTAAATCACTGTGGAGATCACAATGAAAGATGATCGCCATTATCTGTGCAGTGAGAAGAACTATAAACTTCATCCTTGAAAATGTTGCTATTTCAGTGTCTCATGTTTACGATTGATACACTGCTCTTGATTGTTCAGGCTATATTTGGGAGTATCTTTCTTGTCGGTGTTCATACGTGAAGCTTAGCGTTCGAAAAATCGGCCTAGGCGGCCTGGGCGGGGCGGGGCCTTTTTTTTTTTTTTTTTTTTTTCCCCCCTGACTTTAAAGGAAACCTCACGCTGCCTCTCTCTGCTCTGCTCTCCTCTGAGCCGTCGGCTCCTTCTCTATCTGTCTCTCACGAGTCACGACAGACCACCACCACCAGGGCTCCACCCGCGACGACCACCACCAAACCTCTGGAGAGCAGACTTGTGACATTTTGTAGCAACAAAAAAAAAACTGTGATTGATTGTTGTAAAATATATAGAAACTATAAATTCCTTCATACATAGGTGATGTACAATTGATCACAGATGATGTATGCAGCTCAAATAATAATGGCGTATTGTAATCGGTTTGCGTGCCACTGCGGATATAGAAGACTTTCTGATTGCTCTGCCATTATCTTGCAATTTATCTTACATGAGACATGAGATGGAAAATGTTGAATTTGAATTTGATGATTTATGTGGTAATTTGACATTTTGGAAAAAATTTAACTCTACCAAAAATGCCAAATATCATATTATTTTATTACATTTTAAAAAACAAATTGGGCACGCATGATGCATAAAATTTGAATGCTGCTAAACGGACCCTAAAATTAATTGAGTACACCCTATGATCTAAGTACACCATAATATTTAAATCAAAATGTAACAAAGAAATTCGAATGCATATAAAATTTCATTCACTTGGTGATGGTTCTTAGCATCCACTTGGCATAAAGATTCAAAATTGCACTTCCCACAAAGACATTCAAATGCAAACCCATCTTTGTCGCACATGCATGAAGTTGTTGCTTGCCTATGTTTAGGTCTCCAAGTGCAGTTGACGAGTGAATGACAGTGCCAAATGTGAATTCGTTGGGTCTGATATTCGAAACAAGCATTCTTGAAAATAGATAAATAGCTTCTTCATGATGGTGATGCTAAGCAAAGCTGCCTCTATTATTGTTGTGGCTAATACCACGCTCAAGTCAAGCGTTTCGTCAAACAATTGGCATGGATGGAAGAATGCATCTGAAGTACCAAGTTGAAAGGTATGCGCAGGAGCTTTTTGGGTTTCACAATCTGACAAATATAAATTTTAATTTTCTTTCAACCTAAACCAAAAAAACCAAAATTAATACCTCTTTTGATGACTCCCTCGACATGTCTGAAGCATCCATGAGACTTGTTTGCACAAATGAATTAATAAATAACAACGAAACAAATTGTTGGAGTTAATATTAAGGTTTTTGGAAGTATGATTTTTTGCTTACGTTTGATTAGAGTTGAATATGGTAAGTAGGGTGTACTTATTAAAATTAAATTTGTTTCATAATTTAATATATCCTTTTTTGTTATATTAGGGCATATTAATAATTTAATAAGTAGTTTGGTAATAGGATGTAGTCAGTTAACTTTAGGGTTCATTTAGCAGCACTCTAAGATTTTAAAAGAGAGCAAATGATAGTGGGGTCCATGACTAAAAAATATTAAAATAATATTTGACATCAAGCTTTTTGATATATTATTTTTGACATATCTCTTACAGCTTTCAAATCCATGTAGGATTTGACTACTCGGTTGGAGCAATTTTAAACTTCAATTTTTGCCACTTCATGTCCATGTGGCAATTTGACATATTTGTTAGAAATGCTGTAAGAGCATCTCCAAGGGAGATGTTAAATATCAAACATCAAATTTAAATTTGATGGCTGATGTAGCAATTTGACATCTTATACAGCTTTACACTCCACCCGATATGTCAAATTAAATTTTATTTTATTATATTTTAGTGTTGATTTATTTTTAATTAATAAGAAAATAAAATAAATAATAATAAAATATTCATTTGACATCTTGCTTTTGGGATGTCAAAAATAACATCTCAACTTCTAGCCTTCATTCCACATCAGCTTTGACACATCAGTTGGAGTGATGTGAGGTTAATTATAGCTGTTAAATGTCTATGTAGCACATTTGACACATCGATTGGAGATGCTCTAAGATGAGAATAAGCCATCACAATCCTTCCTTGACTCGATTACTGAAATCATTAATAAGTACCTAAAACTAATGAACTTGAAGATGTATATCATTACTTATTAATTTCCTCTTCTTTTTTTTTTAAATTAACATTTGGCCGTTTCGAAGTTGAGAAAAATGATAATAATGCCTGAAGCATGCCAGGAGAGCAAGTTAAGGCATGATATGTCCATGTTAATGTATGTCATCAACATTTATTTTTTGATGCATTAGTTGGTTCTGCTTGTCTTTGAAAATGACACATTTGTTGTATGTAAACTAATGAACTTGGATTACCTAATATGAAAGGAACTTTAGCAATTGCTTTCTGTAATAAGTTCATTATGTATGTAGATGGTTTGACTTGCTAGTGTATATCTTAATGATCAAATTAAAGTGACAGAGAACAAGTCAGTCCAACTTCTGTTTCTCTCGGCTACTTATTCTTTAGAGGAAAGAAAAAAAGGAACAAGGAGTTTTCCGATTTCTGTGCCCGTGAAGAGAGTAAGAGATGGTATTGGAATTTCGTGCATGGCGAAGCGCCTTACCATTTGCTGCCATGGTAATGGTTGAGTGCGCAGAAGTTGGAGTATCAACTATAAGCAAAGTGGCCATGTCAAGAGGGATGAGCCACTTTGTCTTCATTGTCTACTACAACGCCCTTGGTACCCTCATGCTTCTCCCCTATTTCATCTTCCAAAGGTGTCTATGATCTATCCTTTCTTTTAAATATTTTTTTCTCTGACTATTGTTGATTTTATTTGTATTTTGTTATTGGGGGTGTTTATTTCAATGTAACGTTTGAAGTTTGATTGTTCCCTTGTGCAGAAACAAACGAGCTCCTTTGAGTTTCAAACTCATTTGCAGATTCTTCCTCCTTGGCCTAATAGGGTAACCTGGACACTTACACTTACTGCTCTCTCAACACACACAGATCTTAAATTTCTTATTGAAACAATTCATGCAAACGTATAAACGATGGAGAAATTGTAACTGCGCAGGAGTTCAGGGAAAATTTTGTTCTTTGCTGGTGTCAAAAGCAGCTCACCTTCTCTTGCAGCAGCAATGGCAAATCTTACCCCCATATTCACTTTCTTGCTTGCCATAATTTTCAGGTAGTGGGGTGCAGGTTAATTTGTAATGTTACACAGAGAATTTTTTTTTGATTTTTTGTTTTCCTCACAGAAGTAAAACCATTTTTTTAGTTCATCAATTTTATACTTCTATTCTATGATGGTTTAATTTTGACTAAGAAAGACTTTCAACTTTAGGATGGAAAAGCTAGATTTGAGAAAACCAACCAGTCATGCCAAATCCTTGGGCACCATTGTATCAGTGTTAGGGGCATTGATAGTGACCCTCTACAAGGGCCCTGCTCTTTTGAAGCCTTCTTCCTCACCTTCTGGCTTGACTCATCATCAGCCTCGCCTCTCACAGCAACATTATCAGCCTCTCCTCTCACAACGATCAAACTGGATCTTTGGAGGACTTCTACTTGCAATTCAATGCCTCGTATCTTCGACATGGAACATTGCACAGGTAAAATAAAGTCGCACAACTGATCCTCTTACTTTGGTATCATTTTGACTATGTCTTGTTACTTAATACTTCTATTTATGAGATGGAATTTTCTTGTGACATGGTGATGAACTTATACTTTCAAATTGGTAAATACTGTTCTGAAACTGGCATGAACTTGTACTTTCAGGCAGACGCTGTTAAGGATTACCCTGAGGAAATGACCATAGTCTTCTTCTACACCCTCTTTTTAACATGTCAATGCTCAGTTATCTCCTTAATTGTGGAAAGGAACCCAAATGCATGGAAATTGAAGCCTGGCATTGAGATGATTGCTATTGCGTACGCGGTGAGAAAAACGAAAAAACCACTTCTTTTTTATGTGTTAAACAAAATGTTTATTGATTGAGGAACTAATATGATCTTCGTTTCATCATAGGCATTCTTTGTGAGTGTCTTCCGCATTGGTGTTCATGTCTGGTGCTTGCACAAGAAGGGTCCTGTTTATGTAGCCATGTTTAAGCCCTTAGGAATTGCTATTGCAGTGGCCATGGTGGTTCTTTTCCTTGGCGATGCTCTTTATCTTGGCAGGTATGTGGTAGAAAAACTTCTACCAGAGGGCTATGCAAATAATGTGCGTCTCTTTGCATGCAAAAATGCATCTGAACCAATTGACTGAGCCTAATAGCCTATAGAGTTCAAGTTTACAGAAAAGCAAGCATCCTGTTTATTGATTGATTTAGTTATTGTGCAGTGTGATTGGATCTTTTGTGATTGCGCTTGGATTTTATACCGTGATATGTGCACAAATCAAAGAAAAGAGGATGGCTCTTGACAATGGAGCTCAAATATTGGAACCATCCACCCAGACCACTCCTCTGTTGCAAAGTTGCAGTATCAATCAAGTATGAAGAGGCTAATGTCTGGAAACTGGAGCAGCAAAAGTGAAAGTTAATTATAAGAACGTGAATGTAAATTGCCTATATTAAATATATGTAATGACAAGATTTTGTTAGCATCAGGCACGGACTTGGGATTCAAAAATGGAGTGGGCTAATTTAAGCCGATTTTCGAAAATGCAAAATTCCTCCTGAAATTTTAGCAGAATCTCCTATGAAAATTCCCAAATTACCATGGAATTAGCATTCAATAATTATCATGGAATTAGGTATTATTACTTCTTCTTTTTTTTGTTATGTTAGGTATTATTACTTAAAAATGTTAAAATTCAATATAATTTTTTTTTTTTAAAGAAAAACAAAAAGTATATCAGAAGCGCTTTTTAATAATTAAAAACGTTTCTGATAGCTTTTGGTAAAAAAGTTTTAAAGCGCTTCTGGGTCATAAAAGCGCTTATTGGAGAAACACATGTCATGTGCTTCAGAAAGCACTCCCAAGTGCTTTTCCACAAAGCACTTTAATTTTTTTATGAAAATTCAAGATTTTTTTATAATAAAAGCGCTTTTATTAAAAGCGCTCATGAATAGAAGTACTTCCTAGACAAGCACTCCCAAACGAGCCCTATTTTGTAAAAGAAGCCAAAATGGACAAAATTGCCCTTATTTATTTTTGGATTTCCTAAGGAATCCTTTATATTTGCATGTCTTTGATTTGAAAGTTGAGAGATTTTTTTGTCTTTTTTGAAAAAACTCTGGGTTTTTCCAAAAGTGAAAATTCTTTTTTGGCTAAAACCTAAATTTACTTATAAGTAAAAGACCCGCACCCACTTCTCCGCCTTTCTTCTGTCGGCAGCTCTCCATTCCCAAACTCCCACCGCCCCATCAAAACAACCACAGCCACCATTATCTCTCTCCCCTTCTCTCTCTCTCTCTCTCTCTCTCTCTCTCTCTCTCAACGACTCTCATCTGAACC